GAAGAAGTGGGTGTGGATTCTGTCGATGCTGAAGGTGAAGAGGAGGGAGAAGAATACTAAACCCTGTAAATTGGTCTGACTTGACTTTCTTTTATTGATTTTGTTTTACTTGGCTTGACATTTAAATAAAACTTTGACGTTATATTTTCATCTGCGAGTGACGGTGGTTGCATTATTTCTACCCTAGGAAATGATTATAACCTGTCATGTAGTTAGAACGGTCAAAGGTTTGTTGAAAGTAGAAACTAGATTTGCTTTTTAGGAGTCAAGAACTGAAAGGGCGGTTGTGAAAATTGCTTGAACCTAATGCATTATAGCTAGAACAAAACGTTTCAAACAAAATTAGAAAATATAACCGAACGTTTGAAAACACCAACGCATAGTTCAACACGCCAGGATTAGAAAACAACCCGAGAATGAAGTTTCTTGTTTAGTTTTTGTTCGTGTTGCAAACAAGGAAACATTTTTTATGTTAGCAAACTGTTTTTGAAAAGATACAGACGATAAAAACATTTCTTATTGGAAACAAAATTGGCTTTTTCCAACAAATGTGTATGCGCAATACGGGTTCGCAATACGTGTTCGCAATACGGGTTCGCAATAAGTGATACATTTAGGGAAATGTTTCCGCAACGAAATATCGTACAATTTTTCAAAAACGACAGACCTTGTTTGACCACATTTCCAACCACTGAGAAGAGAGTTGAAAATACGACGCGTAGCACAGTATTTTTGACGAACTTCGAGGTGTCTCCCACACATGCTTTTTTGACATGACAAATCTTTGCAAACCCCTCCCCCGGTTCGCAGTTTTTCTTGCGCGTCCGAAGTCACCCGATCTCCGCACGGAAATGAAATGTCGCGAGTAAATACCTGAAGCGTTTTAGCGAGATTCCGCGTTTAAAATTGAGAGCTGGGGAAGGATTTTGTAAAGATTTGTTGTGTCAAAAAACATGAGTGGGAGATGGAGGGGAGCTTGAGCGCGCGCTGGATGACGCGATTGGTACTGGTTCAACGGTACGATCATGTTGCGAAAATGGCCAACCGGCCAGTAAAACAACTACCCGACACAACGTTTTCACATCTGTTGGTTGATTTTTCTAAGGCCCTGTCCACACTACGCCGGAGGAATTTGAAAACGGAGCTTTACGAAAACGCTCTTAGGTTTTGCGTTTTAGCATGGACGAAAAACATTTCAGTTGAAAACGGAGTTTGCGAAAACGATGACAACGCGATAATCATGCGATTTCCCTGCCCAAGTTTTCCTCAAACACAAATNAGCGTTCCTCAAGCTTTCGGTTAACTCTGACTTAAGTTTTGAACTAAAACAAGAGCAGAGAATAGCTGTGAATTGTTTGCTGGAAGTGAAGGATGTTTTCGCTGTGATGCCGACCGGTTTCGGTAAGCGTTTTTATTTCTCAGCTGTTCTCCACAGCGATCGAACAGAAGAAGATTTCGGAAAGATTGCCTAAAGAAGGCATCCGAACAGTGTGATTTTAGCTATTTGCCCGTTGATAAGCCTGATTGAAGACCAGATTAATGAGGGACAATCTCTTGGTAATTAAAAAGTTGTGACAGGCCTGCACAACTCCTGTTGAACGCAAATGTGTATTCTTTGCCTTTAGTGTAAAATGGGGTTGACTAGCCTACACGACTTCTACGGTTCGTGACATTTGTACATTTGCCGTTCTCTGTTCGCTCACTCGACCCTTTTGTCGCTTCACCCGTGTTCATGAAGGGCATTTAATGTTGTGTTATAAGGAGGAACTTAAAGTAGAGTTGAGCCGTTTGACCGTGCTGTGGCAAATTTTTAGAGGTCATAGGTCTGCATGATTTCCGCTGTTATCCGCGTTTCGCTTCGTAGAGTTTGACACCTCTGTAGTTTGCCATGTGTTTATGTATTGTTTAGGCTCATTTCTATTGCAAGATATGCTTTTAAGTCTCCATGTATTTGCTTTCGAGGGATAAAATATGAAGTTCACCGTGAACATGTTTGCTTACTTGCATTCGAATTCGCTCGGACAAACTCGGGGATTTTAATGAATACAACACCAATGTTCTTGGACATCGACATTTCCTCGCCCCATTCTTCTCGCCGGCTTCGCCGGCTCGTGGTTGCGGCTCCGCCGCCCTTGCCCGCGATACGCTGCCCAAACAACAAGTGAGCTTGCTCGCAGGCTACTATCATTGTGCCAATTTTCATGCTTGTATCAAAAAGTGCACAATTAGCAATTTGCCTGAAATTTCGAGTTATGCCCCCGGACTAACGTGTTTTCATGACACGACAAATCTTTACAAAATCCTTCCCCTGCTCCCACTTATTATCGCGGAATCTCGCTAAAACGCTTCAGCGGAGATCGGGCGACTTTAGACAGGTAAGAAAAATAACGAACCAGGGGAGGGGCTTGTAAAGATTTGTCGTGTTCAAAACGCTTGTGTGGGAGATGGAGGGGAGCTTGAGCGCGCGCTGGATGACGCGTTTCGGATTTAGGTAAGGCCATTCCCTTTTTTTTTCGTTTATTGTCGAATGCGTTTTCTGATTTTGGGTCAGTCGGTCGGAAAAGAAAAAAAACAAAAACAAAATTGGAAAAGGAGTCTGGAGCTAGGAGGCCTCAGCATAATATCCGTGGAGTCTGGAAACAACAAGGTGTGGTTACAAAGTCAACATGGTGGCAATGGAGGAAGTGTTTCCCTATCACACGGACACAAAGTCTCTCTCGTCGGAGAGTGAGCGTTCTCTATAGTTGAAGTATGAAGTAAAAACTAAAAATCTGTAAGGCAAAAAATTGCTTATGTTTCAGATTAAAGTGACAATTGTTTGAAATAATGTGTCATTGCCCTCATTGCCTTCTGCGTAAATTTTTTTTTTTGGCAAACGCGAAAATCTGGGTCGGTCGGACGACGCTAAACAGAAAAAAAAGTGGATGGCCTAACGGTACGATCATGTTGCGAAAAGCGATTTGAGGAAAAACTTTGCAAAAGAAGCTTAAATTCTTCGACTGTCGCAAAAGTATTCGAAAACAAATTCGGCCAAGTTGTAGAAAAATCTTTCGACTTCTTTTTGTGTTCGTTTGGTTTCGTGAAAGCAACGAAATTTACAGATTCAAGCGAATATTCGGATTGCGTTCAAAACGTTTGGGCAAAGAGCTGCCCCCCCTGTCAATGTTATATGTAAACCAATGTAAACCAAAAAATGTTTTTGCAGAGCGCGAAAAGGCCTAGGTACGAGTTTAGCGCTACAGTGTTACGCAGGACTTGTAAGAAGCGGTTTTCCCCGCTGTAAAATCGCGTAAGAGATGACAACAGGAGACAAAGGTAAACTATTCATTCTTTTTGTTCGTTTATTTACTCTCTCCCTATTCTGCAGGATTGTGTGCTCCCTGTGAATTGACGCTTAATCGGAAATAACAAAATACAACAAAACAACAACCGAATTTTAGCAGCCGTCATTGCTCAATCACAACATGCTAGCCATCCGATCCTTAGAGTAAGAATTCCTTGTTCTAAATTGTCATCCCCAAAAATGTGTCGCAATATTGCCAAAAGTAGCTTTAACTTACGACATACGATATAAACACGATTCTCCTCCCTTTCAAACGTGCCAATGACACCAGTGGGCCATTGATACGCATGCGCGCTCGGTCGTCTCGAGATTTTGTGACGTCACAAAGAAGCCAATGAAGCAAAACCACGCTCATTTATCTTGTGTTTCCTTGGGTGAAATTTTTTTGAAAGTTTGTATTCTTCATAATATAGATGCCTATTTTACAACATCATTTTTTGACACAATTTTACTTAGGGATTTCTCTTGTTTGATCAACTGAATAAGAAATTTAAAGATCTTTTACGTATCTACCAGATAAACTTTTCATTTTTTCACATTGAATTATTGTTCGAAATCGTTTTCACTAGACTGCCGAGTTTGAAAATATTTTACCGAGGGTAACTGTAGAAAGGAAAGCAAATAGGTGGAAAACAGCAAACAATGGTTATCTTTACGATTGGTTGTTGCCATGGCAACAGTCTGCGATACACTCTTATGAACGAAAAAGAAATCCCTGGTGTGTTGCTTATCTTCATGCGAATGCCAGGAGCTTAAATCCAAAGTTCAATCAAATAGTTCATTCTTAGTTCTTCATCTGTCTTTAGGTGTAGATACTGTTAATACCGTAGGGAGCCACCTTAAGCTTATATTCCCTAAACACGTTCGAAATACGATGTTGGATGGATACTTCAGGATGGACGCAAGGTGCTTTAGCGTCATTCGATATTTAAACCAGCTTATTAAGCCGACAGCTGTCTTAAGGCCCGTTTACACAGGCAATTTTTGTCGCGCTAAAGTTACAACTTCAAAATCGCACGTGTAAACCAGGTGCGATTTTCAGTGCGATTTGTCGCCGTGATATCGCAGGGGTTTCGAGCATGTGTGAAACTTGATGCAACTTCAGCGCGACAAAAATTGCATAGAGTTGCCGCGACAAAAATCGCCTGTGTAAACGGGCCTTTATGAAGGATAACACCACTATATATAGTACCGAGAAGTCACCTTTTCAAGGACGCAGCGTGTTTTAGATGTGCTGATTAATGCAAAATAAATTAATGCATGTTACCATGGTTCTAATTACGTCATTGTATTGCCCTATTTTGGTGCTGTTTAATATTCCACGGTATAAAACGTCGGGTTCTCGCCGTTCTTCTCTTCCGCCAGATGACAACCGCCATGTCATCACAGACTTTAGACAAACTGACTGACGAACTTAAACAGGCTTACAATGCTGTTCTGCTCCAGGTTTTTAAAGATTTGGAGGCAGAGCAGCGGGCTGAACTTTATTATTACTTTACCGCGCACATATCTAGAGATACCTTGCACATTCTTCGCTCTTTGGAAGATGCT